CGGTGCCTCCTCCCGCGGACACCTCGCCGCCGGCGGAGCAGCAGGAGCGGAGCTCCCGCCCCCGGTGCTTGCGAAGTACCAAACCAACCTCGGGGAAGCGGCTTGAACAACGAGCCAAGGGGGTCACAACGGCCCCGAAGGTTGCGCGCTGCCGCGATCGCCCCGTGTCTTCACGCAGTGTTACTCACGGAGTTGTCTGTTGTAGCACTATGGCCAATACGAAGACAGATGATGAAATCGTGGTCTTTGAAAAAGAAATGAAAGAGTTCTGGACCAAATTAAAATGCATTTATGGCACCGAACAGATCAATCAGACTTTAGCGCTCAGAGATTCATGCAAGGACTCCATAAAAGCACTTTCAGGTAAAAAGGTTTTATGCTCCCATTACCTCTACTTTGTCCAGGTTATCATCAAACTTCTTCAGATAACTGAAATCACTTTCCATTACAGAGAAATGGTCCAAGAAGCTGAAAGAAGGGGACCTGATGATCAATAAAATTCAGGAGTATAGCAGCGGTACAGTATGGTGTTGTTTTTATTGTGTCTAACGTTTCTAAAAGTAACTGAATACCGCTGAATAGGATCTTAAACTTGTCATTTTAAGAGGTAAATAGCAACATCAGAATGAAGATAAAATTAAAACCAAACATGTTTGGTTAGAGGATGTAAATTGCAAGTCAAAGGCAACTGTTGGAAAACGTCATTGATGATGCAGAAAGATAAAGATCAGGTAAAAGATCAGGTATAATGGTTTTGGTCCTTAAATATTTAAACCAACAACGTACCAGAACCTGTTGACTGCAATAGGAAAGGTAAATTAAATTGCTTAGTCAAGTAAAGTATTGTGAGGTTTACTTATGCGTCTTCCTTATTAGTAATAAAATACAGTCAGCCCAACACTCCAGGATGAACTACTCTGAATTTTGTGGTTAAACTGCAGAATACCAGGTAAAAATAATTGCAACTTTAACGTCAGCCAGTGCTTTCGTTCCTCACCTTCTGTCAAATTGTTTGTTTGTGGACAGCATGCACCACCCTCATGCTTTGAAGATGTATAATGCTGCTGGTGCCAGAAGCAAACGATGAAGTATCAGAGGAGCTCCCTACTTGGTGGCTGCCGTTTTGAGTAACTTTCACGTTAAGCCCTGATTTCATGCTGTCCGTATAGTTAGCTCTGCTGACTTCTCTCTTCAGCTGAGATAGCAGGCATTTCACTAGGCCTTATTCAAATGAGTCATCTCAAACTATACTACATAGGTACTAAAGAGCGGGGCCCTAATTAATCAACTATACGTTCATATTTTCTTGCCTCCTTTCAGAGATTCTCCGGCAGAACCAACGCATCTCAGAAAATGAAGAGCATTTGACAGAAATAAAATCTGACCTCAAGCACGAAGAAGAGCAAGAGAAGGACCTGACTGACAGCATCCAAGAGCTTAAAGAAGAGTTGATGAAGAAAAAGGAGAGTAAGTAGGCAAAGGCCAGTAAGTAAATGTTGTTAGTTGGAGGAATTGTTTTCAACACTTGCTCCCGTTGGGCTTTTCTACTGCTCTGGATGTGCTCGTTTTACCTTTACTTGGATATTTATGGCGGCTTTTAAATTTCCAGTAATATCCTCTAAAAACAAGGCCACTAGGGAGAGGCTGGAACGACTATGCAAGTCCAAAACATTGTTTGAAGAGCGGCTTGGGCTGGAGATACGCAGAATTCACAGTAAGTTTTTGTAGCTTCCATAGTTTCCACTATGTATCCAAGTGATACAGCCTAGTTGATGTTGGATTGGGTAGTGAAGCACATACTAGCTGACACAACTGAAGAACTGTTTTAGCCCAGGTATTACCACTGTCTCTGAAATGGTAAAATATGGTACGTTAAGATGCATTTGTCTTCCACAGAGAACTGGGTTGCTTAATTTCTAAGCGTTCTAATAATATTAATTGAAACTGTAGCTCAGTATTGTGATTTTTAGTCATCATTGTGACTGTCTAGCAGAGGTTAATGGGGTTAATTCTGTGTTTGCTTTAGATGAACAATTGCAGTTTATATTCAGACACGTTGACCACAAAGATCCGGACAAGCCATTCATGTTTACACTTTCCATAAACGAACAGGGAGATTATGAAGGTATGGCAATTCTGAATACTTAAGCAAGAGGACAGAATCTGATGCCCCTACTTGAAAAAAGGGGGAAAGGAGTAAAGTGCTGTTTAGTTGTAACTTTTATCTTCCAATTTCTGAATGAAAAATCTTGCAATGGTAATCTATTTTTTTTTTTTAGTGACATTTCTCTTGTTAATTTGTATGAAAATACAACTGTTTATCTTCACTCCCCTCCATCTGTGGAGTTGCTGTTTACTTTGTATCAAGCAAAGCAGGAGATAGATGCTTTGGTTTGTAGTTCGTTGCTTCTTCCCTTTATGTCAGAGTGAGTATTTCTGCTGTTTGAGAAGCCTAGAGGGCAGAAAAAAATAGGCTTCCCGCTACTGGGGGGAGCCCTTACAGTTGTGTGACACAGGGGAAAGATTTAAACTTGAAATCCAGCATTCCAGATCTTAAAGCTGCTTTGCAGTAAAAATCTTCTTCAGTTACACAGAGCAGCAGCAACTGGAGTCCTGTGCTTAGTACCTTGTAGATGGACGCTACTGCTGCTCCGCCGTGCCTCGGGGTACCCGACTGAATAGATTTCTGTTCTTACTAACTCAGACCCAAACTGTGCTGAAGGTAAAAGTTTATCACATGCTGGGCTACATCGGTTTTCATTCTGCTGGCCTGCAGAGCAACAAAAATGTTCAGGCATGTGCTTTCAGTTTCTGAGCAGGCTATGGATTCCTGGCAAGTGCTGCTAACAGTTCAAGCAGGCGCACAGCACTTGAGTGGGAGGGCTGGACATAAACCAATGTGTATTCTTTGAGGCTCTGTCTTTGCTGACAGAAAATTATTTAATAGGTTACTCAAAAGTAATACTGGACACAGCTAAAACAGAGAGAGATAACAAACTACATTTGTATTTCATAAGCATGGAAAAACACTAACTGAATTTTTCTATAATAGTCTAATCTTTTTGAAATCTGTCATTTCAGTGACTTCATGTACTCCTCCTCTGGACTGCATCGCAGAGTTCCAGCTCAAAGTGAGAGAAACTAACAATTTTTCTGCATTTGTTGCCAACATCAGAAAAGCTTTCACTGCCTTATCTTACAAATAGTCTGCATAAAACTAGCATATACCTTTCTAGTTGTAGAGCACCTTTTTCCTTTCCTTCTTGCATTGTGAAAGTATGTATTCACCCACGTCTTACTCTAATTTCTGAATAAAGAGAAAAAATGAAAACAGTACTTTAGTCCACAGTCATCTAGAGGCAGTTTGGCTCATTCTTCGAACAGCAGCATAATGCTTACTTAACTGAATGTCTCCAGACACGTACATTTTGATCCGGTATCAAGTAGCTTAATGATGTAATGACCTCTATTTAGCTACCCCAGGAAGACATTAAAGTGCTTTCTGTAATTTATGTCTCTCTTCCAAAAGCACACAAGCGTCTTTCACGTTTGTTATGCGGTTGGAATAGGCCTGAAACCTACCACAATAATGCACTGGAGCTTGTAAATTAAATTCCTTCAGTCACCTGTGTCACAGGTCACTATCTTCTGTTTTTACCCTGTCTCGTCCTCTCCAGTGTTATCACTCATTTTTGTATGTGTTTTTCTTTTGGTCTATTAAACTGTATTTTACTGCCTATTTCCGATTCTTGCCTGGATGCCTATTTCTGTTGTTAGTAACGAGCCCGTGTGATGTGTATGCTATTCTTGAAGAAAGCTCTTGATAGGAACGAGTAGGAACTTTGTATTGGTTTGATGAGAAATCCCAGAGACCTGAAGCAGAAACCTGCTGTAGCCCAGAAGTTCCTGGCTCCCACAACACCCAGCTGGGCAGAAAAACTGGCCTGAAACTTGAACTGTGGTGGGAACCAGGAACATTGATAAAATTACCAGCCTTAGTGTTTTATTGGGTATGGCTTAAATAAAGGTGACCAGCCTGTTCTATTACATAAACTGTGTTGCAGTGAAGGACTATCTATCACTGTCATCAGAAATCTTAAGACATAGCGAAGCCTGACATATCATGTATTAAAAGTATGAAATACAACAGTTACAGATACATCACCTGTGCATCTTGTAGCTTATCAAGACGACAGCTACTGCCACAGTACAGAGGTTGGATTCTCTCTCTGTCTTATCTGTAAAGCTTTTCCTTTTCAAAAAATATTTAAATGGGCAGCTGCAACAAGAAAGAAAACTCTTCACTAGTTAATGTAACATGATTCAAATAAAATCTTACTAAAATCAGTCCTGGAAGTTCTAGTGAATTAAAAGACCACTTGAATTGAAAACTAATGATGATCCCTCTCAAAATACAAATATCTAAGTACATAAAAATTAAATATAGCGTAAAGAGTAAAAATATCCAACATTTGGAAAACACAGTGAAAAGTATTCTTAGCATTTCCTGAATAATTAAAATAACCCTTTAAAATATCTTTGAAGAGTGTTCCAAATTGTTATTCAATAAAAACAAAACTTAAAGAGTATTTTCTGTGTGGTGAAATTCTTCATTTCAAATGACTCCCTGTCTCAAAGCACCTGTAAACAGAGCCTCCGCCTTCCTTGCGAGATGCTGGTTCAGTGAACTTCTTTAAATCTACACAGCGTGTACCTACCTTAGTATTTAATATTTTATCAGGAGAGAATCTCCTGATCCTCACCACTTCGTTTCACATCTCAGATGCAAACTGCATTCCTTTTGGAAGGAAACTGGGAGATGCACACATAATTGTTCCTGCTCTTAGACGTTAAGTAGTCCGTAGGCCAGACCAGAGCTGGTCCACACAAGCATTTGCTGCAGGTGTTGGTCTCCTGTTTACTCACGTAACTATAGGAGTACTCACTGTGCCCAAAGCCTATCTTAGGGTGTGCAAAAAACCCGCAACAAACACCACCACACAGCCCGCTGCCCTTTGATCCTATGCCTTCATCAGCTGCTTAATATGTAAGAGCTGGCCATTCAGACAGGTTTAGATCTGGTGATGCTGACAAGATACTACAGCTGAGAACATTGCTCAGTTGGATGTGACCATATTTTAAACCACTTGGTTTGTCTGCACTTAACAGTACAACTTGTTGGATACAGCACATGCTATGCACCCAGTCTTCTGTGAGATAGCTAAAGTGCATCTTAACACAAACTAGTAACCCATGTTTGCACACGTTGACTCAAAAAAGAACGAACCTTCCATTTCTTCTTCCCTATAGGGCATAATTTCCTGTTTTCTAAATAATGCATGATTGTCCTTGGTATGCCCTATTGATTTTTTTCTTGTGCTACAGCCAGCTATACACAAAATGAGCAGTAAGAATAGTAAAGCTTCCAACTGATAACAATTTTAGAAGGCAGTGGCAGCAGAGATCACTACACGTTTCTATAACAATGTCTCAAATGAAATACATCCTCAATTTCTGCCCTGTCCATAAACCCCATGTGTTCTGAGAATTTTGAAACCAACAGTGGGACAGAGGCACAGCCTGCAAGACTGCCTTCAAGCATTGGGTCTAATTGTTCATTAGCAGATTTTGCCTCCTTTTCAACCATACTAATGGGATTCTTAAATAGCAGCAATTTCTTTCAATTAACTGCTTCTACCACCAAAAGAATGCTGTATGCGCTGTCATGTAGGTCAACAGACAAGCCAGTAGTTAAAAAAATTATTTCAGCCAGCTCTGCACTTCCTGCTTCCATCTTTTCTCCCAGGAGCTGCAACTGCTTTACTACCCCACTTTTGGCTTTCTCTTCCCCCCTTGCGCAGCAGCCCTCAGCTTCCATCCGGCTTTTCACTAATGGCATTGCCCTGCATCCAGAACAACTGTTCATTCTGAAGCATACTCCTGCCCTTCTCTGCCTGGCTGTGCCAAGCAACTCTTAGCTGCTCTGGAAAGTAAGAACTTCAGGATGCTCAGCCAAATATTTTACAGCTGTTGTATGGAAGCAAAAAGCTGTTGATTCATTAAGGGTGTACATATTGCTCAGATGCACTCTGTAGCGTCTCCGATTTGATCATCCTCACAGGAGAAAATAACGGAAACACACCCTGAGTAACAAAGACAATTCCTCAGACCCACTGCCATTTTCATGTTCATCCCAGGCATGCGTGGTTGGGTTACTGCTTCTAACAAAACTACTTTGCCAAGATTGCCATGCACAGAACATAAAATATAGGACAACCACTGCATTGGAATTTATACTCCTTGGAATTATCTGCTAGAAAAGATGATGCGCCTGGTTGTCTATGTTCTGTGCATATGCCTACAGCAAGAAGTACAGTTTGAAATGTTTACCGCATGTAATTTAACCTTTACAGCTCCTTCTGGAGTTTGAATAAAGAAGCTGCTTATCCATTTGCCAAAATAAATCAGAGGCAGATCATACCTCTAAAACAGAGCCAGGCATTCCAACAGCAGGTAAAAGCAAGGAAAGTGTATACAATGGATTTGTTTCCTTATTATACAATATGAAATAAAACTGGCTTGTGACATCCCCAAAACAGCCTTTATGCTTACTGAAGTCTTAAAATCTCAAAACCTTTGTGCCTTTATCAAATGCACTTATTGCTCACAGAATTTCACACACCTGGACCTGCGGCAGTTTGGAATTTGGCATTTGCTATGAAGCTGCACAAGATAGTGATATCCAGTAATAGTACAGACAACTAGGATATTACTATGTGCTGACCCTATAGATACAATTATTGGGACCCCAGTGTACTGGACAGCATGCAAATACAGACTGAAATATCCCAAAGGGGAAGCTCCTGAGCTAAAAAGGAATATGTAGCTTAGGGACTGTGACACACAACCAACCAGCCCCTCCAGTTGGTCCTAATGCTGTCTGTTAGCAGGATCAGGTTTATCTTAAGGCAAAAATATATTTTAGTGAAGGTCAGTAGAGAGTTTTCTTTTTCCATAAACCAGTTTGCCCAACCCTGAATGTTGCCTTCCCTTTCAAACTGCTGACCTGTACTTAGCTACCAGGGGTCAAGCCTGAATTGCATGGGCCATCAACTGATACTGACCACACAGAAAACTGCTGATGTACTGGTACTCAGCACCTCATTAGATTAATCCCATACTATAATGTAAAAATCTGGAAAAAAGGTATTGAATTTATTCGATACTGGAAATACACTGTGAATTTTAGGACTGTTGGGAAGACAAACTAATATTAAACATTAATAACATACATACCGTGTACATTTAACCATAATTCTTGTTTGTATGTTAGCTGGAGGTCAGATTCAAAAAGAAACTGAGTTACTCTAAGAGTCCTTCTAGCTAACAGAACAGTTTTATTACACACCTACTCAAGAGAGTGGAGGTGGCTAAACAGAGTTCGTTGACATTTTTCATAAACCCTCTTGGATGTTGTTAGATGTATTCTGAAAAGCAAACAAATGGCTACACTTGTGAAAATTAAGAAAGACATGGAAGTTATGCTGTGCTTGTCATATTCCAGTTCTGTTAAATTACTTACTGGCTTCTCTAATGCTTCAATAAACTTTGTGGATTTATTCAGTACCTTGAAATTGTCTAAATTAGTCTTGTCATTATAATATTCTCTAAGTATTACAATCACTGCGAACTCATTTATGAGTGACTTATAACTTTTT